CAGATGGAATAGACAGTGCTGTCTTCCTGGCAACACTTTTTTCTGAGCTTACAACTCAGGCCACCTGTTTATCAGCTACAAAATCAACCTCACTACAAAGAACCAGCTTCACCACCCAGTCTCCACCAGATTGTGGTGGATTGCCTAAGCATCGTTGGAGACACACAAGCGTGGTAATCAGGCTTAAACCTGACTCTTTGTAAGTTCCTAGTTATTGTGCTAACATCTCCTATTCCCAGTGTTCACCTCGCTGTCTGAAAAGCAGTACCTCACCACTTTGACAGTCTCTTACGAGCTGGGTTTACTTTCAGGACAATCTATGGATTATCCGTTGCCTTCTCTTTATCTGCCCGTTTACCCTCCTGTGGTGACCAATTTCTCGGAAAAAAACCAAAGAACTCTCCTGGATCCAGAAAGCCTCTCCCTGAGATCACAGCTCCTTCAGTCTCAACTCACCATTTAAATATCTCTGTGCAGTTCAAGGACCCTTGGATTAACGCCTGTCTCTTCTTTCCCCAGTGAACTCTTTCCCCTTTGACCTGGAGAGAACGCTAGTGTTTACCTTGTGGCTCCTCAACAATTTCCTCTGTTCTGTAAGTGAGAATAAAGACTGCGGAACATTTACTTGTGAGCTTGTTGGTTCTGCTTTTGGGTCCGTTTCACTATTTGGCCTCATGGCACTGACACATCCATTTCCAAAAGTTGAAAAATAACTGGACAAACTGACATTTGTAATTACATTGCTCAAAAAAAAGGAACACTTTGAAAATACATCAGATCTCAATAGGAAAAAAATATCTATATTAATATGGACTGGGTAATACACTACCAGTAAAAACTAGGGACACATTCAAAACTTGAATATGTTCCCAAGTGCAGTCTCAATACCCATCAAACACTACGACAAAACTGTCTAACATGAGGACCGTCCCAGGAAAGGAAGACCCAGAGTTACCTCTGCTGCTGAGGATACATTCATCCGAGTCAGCAGCCTCAGAAATCACAAGTTAACAGCTCCTCAGATCAGAGCCCAGATAGATGCCACACAGAGCTCCAGTAGCAGACACATCTCTACATGTTCAGAGGAGACTGTGTGAATCAG